CCCCCCCCCCCCCCCCCCCCCGGAAGTCTTGGGCAGTATCCTTCCCCAGTCTGTTTTCTTACAGATTTCTACAAATGGCAAGGCACTCAACAGCAGGATTCTCTGCCTTTATTTCAGTGTTTGTTTTGTTTTTTAAATTTTGTTTGACTCAGCCAGATTCCTAATGGTAGTGCCCCAGAAAAAAAATTCTCAGCGGTAGACACATGGAATGCTATTGGTTGCCTCCCACATCCATGTTCCCTTTCTTCCTTCTTAAGGAGTTCCTGTTTGCTCTGGAATTCGTTTATGTTCATCCCCTCTTCCTTCCTTTTGGAGAAGTTGAAGCTATGTCCACTCCAGGGGCAGACCATTTTCTTCAAAGGGGGTAGGCGTTCCGTTTCTTTTGCTAGTCTTTCGTACAGGAATGAGCTTGTGAAGCAATTCAAACCAACAACTCAAGGTAAGCTTTGCTGTGGGATAATTTCAGAACAGTCCTTTCTTGTTTCCTCTGGGCATTGCTGTTCTCAGAGACTAGGTGTACCACCACCAGGCTGAGGAACAGGAAACCCCAGGGAAAGGGCTGAAGCCAATGGATAGTGCTGGCTTTTAAAACAGCTATTGTGGACTTTTATTCTTTGTGTTGGAAATATTATTTAAGACACTTTAAACTAGTATTTCTGACTTTTATAGGCCAAAGCACCCTGAGTTAAGGTTTTTTTTTTTTAATGTGGAAACCCCTTTGTTTCTGATAAAGTTATCTTGGGAAGCATACATCATCGCTGACCCTTGATGGTGAAGGTGGGCAGTAGACAATAAAATCAGAGATTTGTGTACAGCTGATTATCAGCCAGCCATTTTTTCCTCTTCTATGACCTAGAACATTAAGGTAATATTACAGAAAAGATGGAATCTACAGAGCAGCTCTCAGTCATCAGAGAAGTTTCTTTGTACAGCAGATGGAGGTTAATGCAGAAACTCACAATTGGTCAAAGTACAGAGAATAAATGTCTATGGAGTGCTCAGCCACAAATGGGACATCTATATCCCTTGGTCCCAAGGCTCAGGGACCATTGTGATCAGGGGGCAGAAAGAGTGTGAAAGCCAAAAACTATCTTCTGGACATTGCAGAATCACTGTACTCATGAACACACAGCAGCTGTGGTTGCCTGTACCATACCTGCACCAGATCAAGCTAGTCTGCATTCAGGCATGGATAGGGGAGAGGCCCATGAGTTGATGGCTTCTGTTGGAGGGAGAGTCAGTTTTCTTTAAAGATATGACTCCTGAAAGGTCCACAATTCTCCAGTGGATGGGACTAGATCTATGTGTATGTGGGTAACACAAATTGAACTGGGTGGGTTATTTAAAAAAAAAAAAAGAAGTTGGGAGAAGTTGGGAGTGGGTATGAAGGTGGGAATGGATCTGGGAAGGGTTAGAGGGAGGACTGGGGGAGTAAATATGATAAAAATACATAGTATGACTGTTTGAAATGATCAAAGAATTAATACAAATATTACATTTAATAAAAAGAGAATGGAATCTACCTGTAGGTGGAGACATCCCATTGTCTCTTTCCTTAAGAGTTAATCTATTTGGGCTGGACAATCACCTGGCCAATGACTACCCCTCAGGAAGTCAGGTCCACCTTAAGCCATGCTAAAGAGATAGGAGGAATAATTATTCCTTTAATGAGACAATGTACTTTTCCTTCCCAGAATTCCTGTCTTCTAGTGCAGTTATTTCCAGAGCTGTAGACATGCATCTCTATAAGTCTTCCTGATTTTCTGAATCACTCAGGAAAGCCTAACTTTTCTTTTATATCTGTTCTAAGCATGCTTTGCCTGACACTTTGAGCTTTACTCTTTCTGTAAAGCTCACTCTTTCTGTAAAGTCAACACATGACTGACATCCATGTTGGCATCCATTTTTCCTTCTCTTCTCCATCTTCTACCTCTGGGCAGTTGCTGAGATTTACAACTTGCCTGTTTCAGAATTTTTCATTTTAAACTCTAATAAAACTGTCCTTGCGTTTTCTTTGGAGTCCATTCTTAAATTCTTTTGTTAAAGAGACTAACAACCTCGAGGAAGCCTTGAATTCCCTAATAGCATGTGGCAACTCTGATGGGACTCCTTAAAATTTCCAGGTACAGAAATATGTTTAGGGAACAGAAACTGATCCTGGGGTGGACCCAGTTCCCATTCAAGATGTGAAAGGGAAGTCTGCTGAGAGAAATCATGTGATGGGGAATGCCTGACTGTACCCTTTCTGCTGCCCACTACTGAACACAGGTATGTGAACATAGGTGTGTGAAGACCAAATCTGTAGCTTGGTTGGAGTCAACTTGTAGTCAGGAGGGAGTACTAAGAGAATCTTAGAGATTAGCCCAGAGCCCTAGGACTTCTCAACCTCCAAGCCAACTCTTTACCCCTGAACTTCATCATACTTGAAAAAAATGAACCCCTCTAGTTAAAACTGAGTTTAATTGGGGCACTGTAACTTCATACCAGAAATGCCCTAACTAATAAGTCTGATTTGTGGCTATAGCTACAAGAGTTGAGGTGTCAAATTTGCTTGTTCAGATGTTATTCTGAAGTTAGAATTTATCTGCTCCCCTCCCCTGAAAAAAAATTACAAGCAGGAATCCAAATTATAGACCAAAGGAGTCATTAACACTCCTTATCCCCAACAGATGCATCTCAAAAGAGACAGGAGCTGAACCAGAGCACAGAGACCATATCTCATACTACTCCCTACTTGAGTTTCCTTGACCCCTGTCTTTCACAATAGTTGTGTGAATTTTATTTGCTCTCATTACTGTGAGTTTTGTGATCAGCAAGAAGTTTTGAGGGTACAGCTCCCTTCTAGTCTACCTGTTGTGCAATGCCACAAGCTGCAGGTGGGAAAACTAATCAGTGATAAGAATAGCCTGGGGAAATAATGATGCTTGTTCTTGAGATTTGTAGAACTGAACATTGTTGTAACTCAGTGATTAGGAGCAGATGTGCATCACTTGACCAAAAACCCTGACCTGTGGGAAGGTACCCACCAGCCTGTTATCACTGTCCTTTACATAAATCATTCCTAAATCAGCCTCCCAGGCAAGATGATCTTTTAGGATGAGGATCTCTGTACCACCATCTTGCATGTCAGTGGTAAGCAGACGGATGTGGGATAGCCTACATCACACCACATGCTGCTGGAGGAAAGAAACAATATCCTTCTTCTCTGTTGGTGTCCCTCATAAAGGAATTCCTACTTAAGAAATGCTTAGTTTAGTTTCCCTGGCATGATCCTGTTAGGAGCTGTTCCCTCCCAAGAACTCAGTAGCAACAGTAAAGCAGGAAGTATGCAGAAACACTTAGACCAGACAGAAGAGTCTTGAACTTAGGAGGAGACAGGAAACCACAGCTGGACCCAGGGACCTCTAGGTCACCAGGACTGGTAACTACAACCCCATGTCTACTGAATGTGAATCTTAGAAATTGGGGCAAGAGAAACTGTCTAAATATTAGTAGAGCCTGTTTGGAAACAGCTGATATTCTTGACCTTAGTTGAATTTCATGTCTTCCAAGTCAGGGACCATTCCTTTTTCAGTCAGTTTGGGATCCAAGTGTCTACCTTTCAAAGCTACTGTGAGGATTAGAAATTATTTGTATAAAGCTCTTAGACTTAAGTCTAGCACATGGTCAGTACACAGTAAGTGGGTAGCTATTGCTCTTACTGAATTCAGCACCCTGCAACCAAATAGAAGGTAAGGAAATGGTTTGCCCAGAAAGACTTTTGGAGTCATAGTTAACGGTCTTCTGCAGTCAAAACTAGGGAGGACCAGAGAGCAGTCCACATAGCAGATTCTGAAAACAGAACACAACCCTAAACCAGACTTTCTGTGCCTGATAACATGTTTATGCACCTGCTACCTACACCACACCTAAGGGCCAAGGGCAGCTGAGATAAGGAAGTCAGAACAACGGCTGCCCTCCAGCCTCTGGGGTGCCCTTTGCACCAGTTCAGCCTTCTGAAAGCAGACTGGTTCCAGTGTGAACTTGGAGGGACTTTATAAGTTTTGCCTGCCCCAAAGTATTCCTGTCACTCCTTACAGCTCTTCTGTGATCAAATTGCATTTACTAACAGTCTGGGAAATACAGGCTTACAGTTAAGCATTTAAACCCATCCTTAAAATAATCATATATAGCTCTCTTTTGTTATGGGTTCTTGCCCTAACCATCTTTCAGGTAACTAGCCTCCTTTATTTGATGTCCTTATATAGCTCTGTTCTACCACCTAGAACACTTAATAACATCTGTGTCCATGGCCATGTCTGTGTCCTGCACTTTTCTACAAATTCCTAAGGACTGGGACCATGAGGATCTGTTTCTGGCTCAAAGCAGTTGCTTAATAAATGTTCACTGGATGAGTTGATGGGTAGTCAGCTAAGGATCTGTGTACATCTGCTTATTTGTAGGGCTCTGAGCTTACAGAGATGAATGCCCCCCTACCCTGTTCCTAAGGCATTAACTCTATGGAATGGATCACAGAAAATACATTAAAGAAAACAGCGGCATGTGATGATGAGTCGGCACAGCTTCTTGTATGAGCTCAGCTGGGGAGGCATTCAATCTAATGAGAAAGAGGTGTGTGATTTGGGTATTTCCCAGAGGAGCGGAGCAAACTCACAGTCTGGACAGGAGGTCCAGGAGGAGTTAGCTGCAAAGTATTAGCAAACAGGGCATCTTTGGCATGAGAATGAGGGAGGCATAGCATATGCAGTGAAGGTACAAGTGATAGAAGTGTGGAAATGGCTCAGAGTCCAGGGAGCTGGGGAGAAGGGAAATTGGGGGAAAGGCAAGAGCAGGCAAAGGACACGGGAAGGACTTACGTAGAGCCACAATCTTGCCAGGGAATCTGGAGAAGCTGGAAGGTTTTTTAAGACGGAACATAACTCTTGGATTTCTTTCTTTTTAAAGATTAAAAATGTGTTTGTGTGTGTGTGTGTGTGTGTGTGTGTGTGTGTGTGTGCCTGAGTGCATGTATGTGCACCACAGAGGCCAGAGAAGGGTGTCAGATTCCCTGGAACTGGAGTTACAGGTGGTAGTGAACTGCCCAACATGAGTACTAGGAACTGAACCCAGGTCCAGAGCAAAAGTATGCACTCTTAAATGCTGAGCCATCTCTCGAGCCCAGCATTTCTAGAGGTTGGCCTGAAGCAGCATGGGGTGGGCTGTGAGGCCAGGGCAGAAGTGAAACGAGAAAACCCAGGCACTAGGAGGGCTGTACCAGCAAGAGCAGGCATGCACTAGTACTCAGGTGAGGCCTAACATGCAAACCTGGGAGGGCCTGCTCATGTCAGAAGGGACAGTACAGATGTCTCTGGGCTTCTGTCCTGGCTACAGGATGGACAACAGTACTTGAAGGAGTATAAGCAGGAATAGGAAAGAGCAAGCAACTCCAGCACTCACCAAGGCTGAGAGGCTGGAAGCTCCAGGTGAATCTTCTCAGCAGCCAATGCATTCCCGAGGCTTGGAAGAGAGACCTAAACAAGAAAAACAAATATAGTACCAATCAGCCAAAAAGTGATAGCTGGAACTGCACATGGTGAGCAAGCCCCAGGATATACCATGTGAGGAGATGAAATCCTAAAGAGGCTAAGACAGAATATCTACATGTACAAGAAGAATAAAGACACCCTGCTGTGGTTGACATTGGGAAGAAGAGGGTATCCAGATGGGGACAGGGATCAAAATCAGTCCTGCCAAGTGCTGGAGAACTGAGAAGCATTCATTTGTAGCCAGATTTTGCAGCCCTCACAGTCATAGCAATAGCACATATTTACTTCCCATAGAGCGCTAGCTTGCTGCCAAACATCTGCATACCACACCACAGCAACCTCCCTCCTGAAAAGTGCCCTCACTTCCCAGGAAGTGCCTAAGGTGGCTCACATGTGCCCTAGGGGAGTACACATCTGCTCCTACATATACACAGATCCCAAGGACAGGCCTCACTGCAGCCCCCACTGCAACTCCCCATGGGATGCCCGTGGTCTCTGCTGCTCTGCTGCTCTGCATTGCCAACTCTACAAGCCTGCACGCCAACACAGCATAGGCTCCTGTCATCAAATTTTTCTGAAGCCAGAGTTTTCTGAGAAACAGAACACGCCCTCCCTTTGCCTTCAGATCTCTTTGTCTCCATGCCTCACCCTGGGTTTCACAAAAATACCCTTCTCAGCTTGTGCCTTAAGCCATTTGTCCCCTGGCTTCAGATATTAGTCTCAGCTGAGTTGTGGGACAGACCATAGAGTACCTGTGTGTCCTGCTGTTGATCCTTACAACACTTCAGGTAAGTCTGGCAGCTTCCAAATCAAACAGTGAAAACAAGGGACATAGAGCTGCTGTAGGAAGTTTGGAGTCAGGGGTAGTGTGAGAACCCAAGCCCCAGGTGACGCTTGGCAGACAGGCCCTCGAGAGGTTCCTACCGGTTCCCCACCTGCTGAATTCACACTCCAGACTTCTGGGTTAGGCTGATCAGGGCACCAGGCTGTAGGATGATTAAGCAATGCTGAGGTGTTTCAGCAAAAGTTGATAAGGCGGTCAGACTGCAAGGAGATGAGGAAAGAAGAGGTGGAGAGGAAAGCACAGGTGGTCAACATCAGATTTCAGGAAAGCGTAGAGGGAAGAAATGCAGGAAATGGTGTGGTGGTCCTCTAGATGGGAGAGAATGGAGCAGTCAAAGTCTGAGTACAAGGGTGTTGCAGGGAAGGGAAGACCACAGTAGATGCTCAGGAGAGAAAGACTTTAAGGGAACAGCCACCACAATGTACAGATGTCCCATGGTCATGAGAACAGCCATGGCCCTGCAGACACCTGTGTCTCAAGCCTCTGGGAGGGGCTGGCCACAGGAGGCTAAGGTGAAGAAAAGGAAGAGGACACAGACTCCACCCTTAAGCTTGTTCTGAATGTGTGAAGCTATGGGTTGGGAAGTCTCAGTCAATCCTTGACATGGACTAGTTGCCTCAGCCTTGAAGCCCTGCTACAACTTAGTTGTTGACAAGATCTCTCTCTGAGCTACTTCTGGGGCCCAGAATCTGCCCATTTGGCCATCAGTTTTCCATTTAATTTAGGAAAAAGTGATGAGATTCACAGAAAAAGCTGCTCTGAGAGTCAGTTTTCTTCCCTTCTCCCTGTCATGGTGTGGTTAAGAACTTCCAACGTGAAAGCAGTGGCCTCCAGCCCCTGGCCCTGGCCTTGCCCCCTTAAAGATACTCTGGTTTCTGAGTAAAACTTCTTAGGGAAAGAGATGATTTAGTCTTCCAGGTGGTTTTCCTTTGATTTGCTTATCTAACTCAGCGCACACTGGAAGGGGCTGAACTGGCATGAGAAAGGAGAACACGCACCCAAGGAAGAAGCAAAAGATTTTCTAATCCTCAGGCTCCTGCCTCCTGTCTGGCAACACTTGAGGTGAATGGGTAGCTGGGTTGTCAAGCTACTTGGCTCACTGTAAACAGAGGCTCACAAGTCAGGCAAGAAAAGGCCCTTATTCTATACAGAGGTTAGGGATCATATGGGAATTTGCTTCGTTGCTGAATGTTCAAAGGTCACCAACTCCTAAGGCTTATGGAGTAAGGCAGGTGTCTCAAACACAGTGCCTACCAGCTAGGGCCTCTGATATACTAGAGTCACAATCTGCCTTGTCCTAAGGGGATGACTGCTCAGTATGGCATCAGCGTTGTCCACTCCACTACCCAAAGAAGTTAAAATCAAAATGGTTTTGTGAATTTTCCATATTTTTACATGCCAAGAACCAAGTCCATTCATCACCAAACAAAGCACTCTGGGTGCAGCCCCTTTAGGGCACAGTCACCATTTCAACTCCACTTCCTCTGAAGAGTAGCCAGAGCTTTAGTTTTCTTGAATAATTGTGTTTACATTTAAAAAACAAAACAACTATGTCTCCAGGAGGGGGAAAATAAAAAGAATTTACTCTCAGAGGCTCCTGCCTCCCTCCCAGAAACTGGTCTGTGTAGTCTATGCTGCCCTAGGGGGTGACTTAGCTCTGCTCTCCACCATAGGGCAGGCACTCTGGATGGCAGGAAATACACAAAGACAGCCTGCCTATAACTAATACTGATTAAGCAGCAAGTGTGCATTCCTAGGCCGGGCCCAGACTACTGGTGAGTCATACCGGAATAAATTAACATTGGAGCTGTCCCTTTAAAAGTCAAGCATGCTACCGTCTAACTCCTCCTCCAAGGAGGTTCCTTATTAAATGAGAGCCTGCTGCCCGAGCCGCGTTTTACATCCCCAGCAGTATTTTCAACTGAGGATTCCTCCTGGGGAAGGGGTAGCCGGTCAACATGGCTCAGGGGTTTGTGAACAGCAAAATCCACCCGGGGAAGGTGGTCGTGTTCATCAAGCCCACCTGCCCCTACTGCAGAAAGACCCAAGAGCTCCTCAGTCAACTGCCCTTCAAACAAGGGCTTCTGGAGTTCGTGGATATCACAACCAGCGATGATACAGACGAGATTCAAAATTATTTAGAAGAGCTCACAGGCGCTAGAACGGTGAGTGTGTCCAAAGGAAAGCCTCCCGGCTTGCTGTTTCTTTCAGAGCTGTGCACATGTCTGTGCCTTTTCAAGAACACAGCCAGGGCTCTGTCCTTCAAGATAACCAGAGGGCTTTTCAGGGTGTGGGGGAGGGGCCCGGGGGAAAGACACCAATCACTTGAATGGGCAGTAAGGTTGCCTGGGAGGAGGAGAAGGGACCTTGGCTGATGTGTGCCGCTGGCTCAGGGGCCTGGCCGCTGGGCCTCTGGTTGCCAACTGTTCATGTAGAGGCTTTAAGTACTGTTAGGAACTGACAGTGTTCAGCAGCAAGGCAGGAGGTGGCTTCAGGGCCTGGTGAGATCTTGCAGCATTTGTTATGGAACGCGGCAGTTACATACATGTACTTCCTTCTGTTTTCATGTGTCTCAGTGGGGTTTGCCAGGATCATTTCATTTTTCTTTAGACTATTCATAACCTAGTTTGCCCATTCCTATCTAGCTCCACCCACTGGAAAAATCCTGTTTCATTATTTACCCTTTGTTCTACCTTAATTATGGGATGCTTTGAGGACTGCTGTTATTCAAGCCTGGCTATCACAGTGACTTTCTGTTGCTGCCTGAGACTCTCAAGAACCCCAGTTGCAAAATTAGAGTGGGACACCTCAAAGTCCCCTGTTCTACAAAGGCACTGTGGGCCCCTCTTAGAACCCCTCTCTTCTCTCAGAAAGGACTTTCTTAGTGCCTGGGCTCCCAGTGGAATGTCTAGATTCTGGTGCTGGAAGGGTGCGCTTATCCCACTATTACTGGAGGATTTTTGGTCCACACCTAGAACAAGCCAAGAACCTTAGCCACCTGTCTTTAATACACCAATTAAAAGACCAAGTGATAGTGAAAAACAGACAAAGAACTTTTATTTAATGTGACCCCACTGGGAAGATGAACAAATAAACAGATCCGATTACTCCCAAGTCCATGAAGTTTAGGGTTTTGGGTTTTTTTTTTTTTTTTGGTTTCGTGTGTGTTTGTGTGTGTGTGTGCACCCACGCATACGCATGTATGTGTACATGGAGGCCAGAGGTCGACCTCGGGTGTCTTTTTCAATGGCTTTCAACCTTATTTTTTTGAGACAGGCTGGCACAGAATCTGGAGCTCACAGATTGGACTAGACTGGCTGACCAGAAAGCCCCAGGGATCTTCCTAACTCAGCCTCCCCAACATTGGGATTTGCACACAGCTTTTTATATGGATTCTAGGCTGTCAAACTAAGGTCCTCATGCTAAGCACTTTACCAGTTGAACCATCTCCCCGGCCTGAGGCTTAGGTTTAAATAGGGCAGTTTGCTGTCCTGGCCAAGCTGAGGCCCCGCCCATTATTGGCACATTGTCTGAGCTCCAATTGGTCCTGCAAGGTGGTCCAATGTGTTGTCAGAACTGTGTGAAATCACTTCCTGGAAGCTAAGTTCCTCCTCTGTTTCTGTACCTGGCCTTCAGCCTTCTACTCCCCCCACGTGGCATTCCTGGGGAAGTTCTTTGAGGTCCCTTGTTTTGATAGTCTGATAGCCAAAGGGAGGGGTGCAAGTGTCTCTTTAGATATTTCCTCTCTTGACAGGGGGGTTAGCCCACCAGCTCACCTAAGTTCCTGTTCAGGACGTATTTCCTACTTCAACTTTAGTGTGACTCACAGGGCTTTCTCTGGGTTCTGGGTATAAAACACTGGAAATTCATTCTCTATCTCTCTCTCTCTCTCCCTTCCTCCCTCCCTCCCTCTCCTCTCTCTCTTGGAAAAAGGCTAAGTGTGTTATCTTACTGCTGTAACATGAGGTCTTAGAGCAGAGACAAAAATAGAGTGGCTTGTGGCGTCCCTGCACAGATCCTGAAAGGAGAGCACACGGTGACACTCCTGCAGGCTGGCCCTTGCTCTGTCTCCTGCCCTGGGTTCTCAGTCAGGGGTTCCCAGACTTGCTGGCCAACAGAATCACCATGAGAGCTTTGTAAACAATCCCAAGGCCAGGTCATAATCCAGACTACCTCACAACAGCAGAGCTGGGTGCCAGCCAGCCATAAAAAGTGTGAAAGATTCCTAAATGATTCCAGTTTGCAACAAAATTAAACACTGCTTTTAGCTCATTAGCCCCTGTTCTACAGCAGAAAAAGCAAATTTCTTCATTTTAACAAATGTTTCCATTGATTTGTAAAGCAGCAATATGTATAATGTATGAGGCGGGGGGGGGGGCTGTTTGTTTGGGTCTGGTTTTTTGAGACAGAGTCTCCCTGTAGCCCCAGCTGGTCTGGAACTCATAGACCAGGCTGGCCGAGATCTGCCTGCCTCTGCCTCATGAGTACTAGGATTAAAGTTCCCAGCTAAGCAACATTTTGTAGTGACCTTTTAAGTTTAAAATTTAAAATACCTTTTTTTGGTGTGTGTGCCATATATATGTGCATGCACATATATGTAGTTGTGTTCACCAGTGTGTAGCGACAGAGTCTCACTAAACCTGGATCTTGCCATTTTCAGATAGACTGGCCAATGAGCCCCTGGGATCCTCCTGTCTCTGCCCCCCTACCCCCAGTGCTGTATACCACCATGCCTGGCATTTACATGGGTGTTGGGATCTGAATGTAGGTCCTAATGCTATGTATTGAGCTGTCTCTTGGGCTCTAAAATTTTTTTAAAATATTTTATTATCTTTATTTTATATGAATGAGTGTATTGCCTGCATGTATGTAAGTGTATCCGTGTTGTACAATGCCCACAGAGGTCAGAAGAGAATGTTGAATTCCCCTAGAACTGGAGTTACAGACAGTTGTTAGCCTCCATGTAGGTGCTGTGAATCAAACCTAGGTCCTCTGCAAGAACAGCCAGTACTCTTAACTGCTGAACCAACCCTCCAGTCCCTAAAAAGAAATTTTAAAGATAATTTCTCTCTGACATGCTGGAGAGATGGCTGAGTGGTTGAGAGCATGTCCGTAATATAAAAGTCATTCCCACAGGTTTCTATCCTGCATTCTTGTGAGGGAGACAACAATACAATAAATAGTATACTAGGAGGTGACGGTGCCGGGTTATGAAGAAAATTAAATAGGAAATTGGAGGTAGGGAACAGGCACAGTTTTCAATAGAACCATCAGGGCCTCACTGAGGTTAAGGAAAGGTCATTCTGGATGGCTCAGGAACAAGAGATTGTAGGAGGGTTGATGCTGAGAGACATTCCCAGGGCATAGCAGTACTCAGGCAAGCATGACAGTCAGTGGCTGTGACAGAGGAAGGGGAGTGTGTTGAGAAACAGTTCTGAGTAGCTGCATCTGAGGAACCCTAGAGTGCAGAGAATGCTGGGAAAACACCTTCCTGGAGAACAGACCCAGTGTTACCAAACTTTATGGTGACAATTCTTCCTCCTCTGGACACAGTTTCCTCCCGGGAGAGGGATGGGCCAGAGGTTTGAGTGACAAAGGATGTTTCCTCTTCCTTCCGAAGCAGTCCTGTTTCCTGCTCCATCACCTCTGGAGCCCAGGTTACTCACACAGCCTGTAGTTTGGTACTCCTCAGGAGAGCTGTTTAACTGTGTGATTGAAGTTTTGTTGGTGCCCAGACTTAGGGTGGTGGGGGAACAAGAAATCTTTTGGCTCTCAGGCAGTCCAGTTTTGCTAGACAGTGTCTACAGACTCCATTTCAGGGCCTGTCTCAAGCTGGCAGCAGCTACAGGGCTGAGGGTTTCTAGCCCTCAGTTGCTTTATTTTTGTCAGTGGCATCAGCTCAAACCCTGGCCAGAAATGGTCAGAAAGTAGAGATGGGAGGGGCTAAGAAGGTGGATAAAACATTTGTCTTACAAGCTTGAGGACAGGAGTTTAGATACCTGGAACCCACATTTAAAGGGTGGAGGCTAGAGAGATGGCTCAGCAGTTAAGAGCACTGGCTATTTCTAGAGAGGACCCAGGTTCAGTTCCCAGTGTCCACATGCTAGCTAACAACCATCCTTAACAGAGAGTTCTAAGAAATCCAGCACCCTCTTCTGACCACAGGCATTGCATGACACAGGTGAGCTTACATACATGCAAGCAAAACAGTCATACACATTAATTTTTTTTAACTTGAAAAGAAAATACACATGTTCAAGAATAAATACATGACTTCCTTGTTTAAAGCTCAGATGACTTTGATTCAAGTCATTACCTTCAACAGACCTATACAGTAGAATGATGTTAGGGTTCTGTTCCGTTTACTCACCACAACTAACTGCAGCCAAGTGCTTCTGCAAAGACAGAAGCCGAACCAGCCCCCTCTCACATCTCTGCTGGGGGAGCTGTGTTTTCTCTGAAACAATGGCCAGGATTCTGGAGAGACTTTAGGCTTCTTGCCTCCTCTCTCTGCAGCTTTTCTCCTTCCAGTGGATAGAAGCAATGTTGTGGTGCTGGCACGTCCCTTTACAAAGCCTCTTACACAGCCACCCCCCGACCATCCACCCCCTCCCCCACAGAACAGCAGCTTCACCTGGAATTGAATACATTACCAGGTAGACTCACCCGAAAGGGGTCCTGTGAGCTTCTTCTAGTTCTCAGGCAAAGGAAATAGCTTACAGAGTTTGGCTGGCTGTGTGGCACACGATTTTGGTTTAGTTATCAGCCTTTTTATTTTTAAAACCCAGTTCTTGCTGGACCCCTCTCTCTATAAATGATGCTACCAGAATTTATCTACAGTAATTCAATTTTTTTCTTATCCTTCTCATTTTTGAAATAATTCACTTGAAGTTTTATACCTTCTGAGGAAAATAAGATGCTTTGAGGAAAAATACTCTTTGTTCTGTCTTTCCCCGCTCCAGTCCCCTAAGTACTGTATTAACTACTACTCTGCTGCTGTAATAAAACACCATGACCAAGGTTGCTTATAGAAAGAAGAGTTTATTTGGTTTATGGTTCAGAGGGTTAGAATCCATTATGACAAGAGAGGCATGGCAGCAGAGAGGACCGGAGCAGAAAGTCAGTCACACCTTCAAGCAGCCACAGGAAGCAGAGAGCTACTGGAAACCTGGCAAGGCTTAAGAACTCTCAAAGCCTTCTTCCAGCAAGGCTGCACCTCCTAAAACTTCCCAAAACACCAACACCATCTGGGGACAAAATGTCCAAATACTTGGAGCCTATGGGGAACATTCTCATTCAGACCACCACAGTGGTCTAGGAGAGAGTTAATGGCCTCCCAGTCACTCAGATGACTTAAGTTGGAGCAAGTTCTTCACTATTAGACAGCCTTCATATGATATATCTCTGGTTTAGAAAATACCTGGAACAGAGTCATGGAACTCCACTCAGCAAGTACAATGTCCATGTCAGTCTGGCTTCCTTTGGGCCACCCACCCACTAATCTGTGAAGCTAAAACAGATGATATCCTTGATCCCAGAGCTGTTGTAGTCAGGCATTTTACCATGGACCAGGGATTAAATGAGACTCAAGGGGCTGGAAAGATGGTTCAGTGGTTAAGAGCACTGGCTGCTCTTTAGAGGACCTGGGTTGGGATCCTAGCACCCACATGGTGGCTAACAACTGTCTGTAACTCCAGTTCCAGGGTATCCAGTATCCTCTTCTGGATGCCACGGGTATTGCATGCATGGGTACACTTACGTGCAGGCAAAATAGTCATATACATAAAATTAAATTTTAAAAAAATTCTTAAAAGAGACTCAAACACACAACACTGCCTCCTGGTTGAGGATAGATCATCTGCATTTTAATAACAGGCCATATTTAATAAACCTGGACCTACAAATAATTTCCAGGAAACAAACCCTCCTCCTGACTGCTAAAGTCATGCTTAAGGTTTCAGGTAATAATCCCAACTTCAGGGAAGTCAGAATATAGCCTAGGTGGTCTGGCTATACCAATCAGAATTCTCTCCCTGACATATGTCTGTACAAAGTGAAAAAAATTGTAATTGCTTTGATAAGTTAGACAATCACATGCCCAGCTTACTCAGTCTGAAAAATATTTTGTCTTAACAACTTCCCATACCCGCCGTGCTGTGCTAAGGATTCAACCTAGGTTTTGAACATGGTCAGCGAGTGCTGTGCCATTACGTTTCAACCCTAGGTTCTAATAACATATTTTAATGAATAATTTTACTCTTAGACACTCTTTTAGAAGACTTCAGAAGAAGATTGTAAAGTGATTTGAAAAGCATAGCATCATGGGAATTTGGGGAGGATTATACTCTGAAGTTCATTAACTGTCCTGACTTGTTCCTGCAGGTTCCTCGGGTCTTCATTGGTAAAGAGTGTATAGGTGGATGCAATGATCTAGTCACCTTGCAACAGAATGGGGAGCTACTGAATCGACTGAAGCAGATTGGAGCTCTGCAGTAAAGACAAGGGAATGGCAGGTGAGGCCGGCCGGGAATAATGAGAGACAGTGGCATTCTGCTGCCCTATTCTATTATACTGTAGGAGGACATTCTGGGTAGGCAGTGATTTGAGGAATCGTGACTCTACTTATTAATGAATTTTATCAATGGGAAAAATTATTTTAATGAGCCTTCATTTAACAAATTTAATGCCCTGAACACAATACTGAGATACACAAAAACATACACAGAACATAATGCACAAAAAGATGGCATGAAACTTGTAGCCTGCAGAGATAGAGCACAAACAAGTAATTCCTGAAGCAAATAGAATAATTCAATGGAACATACGAGGTGAGAGCAAATGGCACTGCGTGTGACAGAGAAGGAGCTGACTGACAAGGAGACAGCTACGTAAAGATGAAGTAGGGAGCTCTAGACAGCAAGCAAGGCATGTTCAAGGAATAAACAAAGTAAGGTCAGACTGAGATATGGGCAACAAGGAGGAAGAAATGTGGGCAGGGACCACAGTGCAGGGGCCATGAGAAGTGGTTTGGATTTATTCTAACTGCAGTGTGAAATCAAGGTAAGTTTGTTTTCCTTTAGTATATTCATACAGCAGTCTAATTGCCTTCTCAAACGCAAAAACAAAGTTTAAATCAGTAACCTAACTTTGGTCCAGTGGAAAATCATGGGGAAATGAGCTGTTTCAAAAGTACCTGCTGATATCAGGGAAATTGGGGTTCCCTCTTGGGGTTCCTAGTCTCCTTAATAAAAGAATTTAAGAATAGATTCAAAAGGAAGCTGGAGAGAAATTTTATTAGCGTTCAAAAGAAAAAATCCCAGAGCAGGCAAGTTGGAAATGTTGGCAGCTGCCCAGAGGAGGAGAATGAAGAAGAGACAGAAAAAAGCCATGATGGTTGAATTAAAATGGCACGGGTGTCAGCCACATGGTGGACAAGCGGCACATGGCAGGGAACTTCAGAGAAAGAGTGAAGCCCAAAGCGTTATGGAAAGCAAGCTTAGAAAAGATAGAAGAAAAGGAAAAGTCAGGCAAACTAACAAACCTGCATGCCTGTGGCTGTGTCCCTAAGAGACTGAACTAGGAGACGGAATCCTGGAAAGGAAAAGAACATCTTTTTAAAGGGACAATTATTCCTCCTATCGCTTTAGCATGATTTAGGGTGGACCTACCTTCCTGAGAGGTGGTCCTGTAGCCAGGTGACTGACTGGCCAACTGGGTTAACTCTTTTAAAAGGAGGCAATAGCATGTCTCCACCCAGTAGTGAATTTTGTTGTTCTGGCTTAAAGGCAACAGCTTTCCCTTAATGGGCCTTCAGTGCTACCATTAACACCTGGGTGCCATTGTGTGGTCTGATTAACAACCTCTCCTCCCGCACTTAGAGCAAGTCAGTGCTTCTACACAGCTGGTTCCACTGACTCATATACAGAAAGACTCAAGTGTTTTCTTTAGTCAAAGGAGAGAGTAATGGTTCTTTAACCAAAACGTTCTATAAGGGGCTGTACGGCTTGCAGATTAAAAATTTATCTTTTTGGCAATTAGTGTGTCATTTGTGGTGGTCACTCAGGATAGCAACGGAAGCAGGGAGGTCTGGAAAAAAAATAGAAATGAGTCTTCAGAAATAAAACAGTCAATTTAAGTTTTCTAATCCCGATATATACATCATGACAGCAGGTGAACATCGTGCCCGTCCCTACAGGTTAAATTTCTGGTTTCATGCTAGATTTTAAAGCACTACCATCCCTGTTAGTAGTACCAAAGGGTTTCTATTCTGGAGCAGGTTTAGCAGTACAGGCAGAGATTAAAATTGAGCAGAAAGGAAATGCCATTTCCCCAGCCTTCTCTGGTAAGTGTGGGCACTAGAATTTTCTTGCGCAGGAAGCCTATTATCCTTTCCCAGTAGCATCATCCCATGTTGTCCTTGTTTTGCTGGCACTCCTGCCCGAGGCTACCCAGTAACAAGTGTGTTTAACTGTCAAAAGAGGGTGTTCTAGTAGTGGGAGGGAAAATGGGGGTAATTTATACTGTAAAAAGACCCAGTTCTTTGTTTCTTTCCTAGCCAGCAGACTCCATGCTGAGAACAGATGACCTGCCCCATGCCGACTCTTTCGAGAGCTGACTGGAGTCACAAAGGATGGCAGCATTTCCTGGTGACTGTTCTGAGCAAAAGCAACTGTTTTTCTTTTTCCTTCAACATTAAAAAGTGGGCCAATTTGCCTCTAGCCATGAGACCAAGAAGGTTAACAGACCATGTTGGTTTTCTTATGATCCATTCATGTGCCAGCATGTTTCTACCTCTAAGCAAGTATTTCTCAACCAAATTATCCCCAATGAATCAGTTGTTTGTTTTCTGCTACTGCCCATCAGTTGAAATGATTTTGAAGAACTTGACTTTATGAAGTGTTATGAAATCAGTAGATATTGTGCATGTTTTTTTTTTCAAATCATATGCATCTCCCTCCTGAACCCATCCCACCTTGACAATCACTGTGCTGAGTCAGTGTTCTCAACTTACCAACTCCTAGGACTCATAGAAGGCAGATTTCTGTGACGGTCCCCATTTGAGAAATGGATGAAGTTAATTAAGCATGGCTGGTCTTCACTGTGGCTCTGCAAGCATGAGAGCAGACAGTACAAACATGTCCAACAGTCAGTGGAGATAAATGTCCAGAAAAATCCCGAATAGCTGTGTGTTTATTTGATTTTGGCTACCAGTAAAATTAAATGTGAAATGCAAAATTATAGGATCCTCCCCTCAAGACTATGTCTATAAAAGAATCCAGGTTTGAGAAACACTTCTCTAAATAATTTCTTCTGCCCACAGTTTGACAACTTGAGTCCCTTTCTGTGATGTTTAATTGTCTGTTCTGGAACTGCAAGTTCTTTGTGTGGTCTCTAGTGGGAAGGGCTTGTTTCTTTTCTAATAAAAATGTACCTGCAGGTGGCTCATGATTTTGGACCAATTGTGTTCTATGTTCACAAGACTTTAAGGGATGGCATTCTTAAAGCTGTAGGGTTGGTTAGGTGGCTCGGCAAGTAAAGGTGCTTGCTGCTGCTTCTGAAATTTTCTCCCCAGGACCCACATGGTAGAAGGAAAGAAATGATTCCCACAAGTTGTCCTCTGACCTCACATGCATGTGCTTGCTCATATAAATATGCTTAAGGTTTATGCTTGCATGCCTCTACCATTACAAATAAGGGCATGTGCTAGTAGCATTCATTAGATACAAATGGTTGTATTAAATCATAGTCTTTTAATTTTTTATTATTTTTATTTTATGTGTATGCGTGTATTGCCTGAATGTAGGTAAGTGCACCTGTATCTTACAATGCCCGCGGAGGACAGAAGAGGCTGTTGGATCCCCTGGAACTGGAGTTACAGTTGTTAGCTGCCATGTGGGTGCTGGGATTCGAACTAACTGCTGAGCCATCTCTCCAGCTGTCTTTTACTTTTTAAAGGTTTATTTTTATTTATGGATATGTATGAGTGTGTCTCTGTGATTGTATGCTTTGTGAAAGTGTATGCTGGTGGAGGCCAGAAGAGGGTGTTGGATTCCCTGGAGCTGGAGTTATAGGCAGTTGTGAACTGTCCCATATGGGTACTGGGTACTGAAATCAGGTCCTCTGCGAGAGCAATATGAACTTTTAACCACTAAGGTGTCTCTTTAACCCATGGTCTTTTAACCTTTTTTGAAATGAAAATAATTATAACATGTCATCTGTAACCAACTGAATAATGTTTAGGATCCAATAATTATTTCCATCCATTCATATTCACTTTTCTGCCTGATGCCCTTTCATGTTTTGTCCCCCTTTTTTTTTTTTTTTTTTTTTTTTTTTTCCCCCTTTTTTTTTTTTTTTTTTTTTTTTTTTTTGAGGAGGATCTTACTGTGTAGCCCTGGCTGGCCTGGAAGTCGCTATGTAGACCAGACTGGCCCTGAACCCAGATCTACCTGCCTCTGCCTCCAGAATGTTAGAATGAAGGCATGAGCTACCGTGCCCAACTCTGGCTTTTTTCCTGTGGGCCCTAGCCATTCCCTTCAGATAGGATTGCTGGTTGTACAGGTTGCACACTGAACAACATTTGAAGTCCTCCCCTGGAGGTTAAGCACCACCGCTGACCCATTGTGGACCTCTTGCTTCTTTCTTTCACATTCTGTGCTTGGTCCTGTGTCTCTTCCTCCTGAGGTGTCTTTCCTTTATGTTCTGCTTTTATACTTCCCCATCCTCCTTCATGGACTTTCTTCTATTTGCCTGTCTTTTGACTTAAAGTCATCTCTCTCCCTTCTGTAATCCAGGAACATTCTCAGCACTCAGGCTCTTCACAGACCTTATCAGGCTGTGGTGTAGTTACTTGGGTATAGGTCTCTGGCCAGTTTCAGAAATACAGGTAAAAAGCTTGACTTAGCCCTCTTTGCAACTAAATTTCTAGCATACTAAGTCTTTGTCTATTCTGCTTCTGTTTTACATTTGGAAGTCTCTAGTGCCTCAAAGGTCTGGAAAGCTTTATTGAACATTTCTGGCAGTAAATATTTAAGAATGAGGCACTGGGGCTGGAGAGATGGCTCAGTAATTAAGAGGACTGGCTGCTCTTCTAGAGGACCTGCATTTGGTTCCCAGCACCCACATGGCACCCACTGTCTGTAACTCTAGTTCCAGGGGATCTAACACCCTCTACTGGCCTCCACAAGCTCCAAGCACGCATGTGGTGCATACACATACATGCAAACACTCATGCACTTAAAATAAAAATAAAACCTTAAAAAAAAAAAGCACTAAACCTGAAGAGTCCTGTGCTGATGCCCCGAGAGGCTGAAGTAGAAGAACCACCACCTGAGCCTTGGAAGACGTGAGACCAAGACCTAGTCTCAAAAAATAACAAAACACTTGGAAGATTTGTGGGCCTGCATTGGGCTTGTCAACTAATGGGCTTTACACTCATACCTGGTACTATAAATCTGGCCAAGAAGGCATGGTTGGAGAGCTCACAGAGCCCAGGGTTAAACCTGTTACTATTTTGCTAAATGTACATAGTGTCACACTGTCCTCTAAATTTGTACCTCTATATCCATAGATTAGTGCAGCTCCAAGACCTTATCAGAGAAGTTTCTTTGTGCAGTGGACCCTGGTTTACATAGAAATTCACAATTGGTCAAAGTGCAGAGAATAAGTGTCAGGGGAATGCTCAGTCACAAATGAGACATCTATATTATTCCCCACCCCCAAGGCCCAGGGACCATCTTGGAAGAGGCAGGCAGAAAGATTGTAAGAGCCAGAAGTCAGGAAGGACTAGACTGAAACAGTGTCTTCTGGACATGACAGGGCCATAGCACTTATAAACTCACAGCAGCTGTGGTTACCTGCACAAGACCTGTTCAAGATCAAGCCAGTCAACATTCTTCCATGCAGTGGAGAGAGTCTTACAAGACCCCACCCCTAAGCTGAGGAGCTATTGACAGCTGATGGCTGCTGTGGAAGAAAGTTTTAAGAGTAAGACAATCTTGTAGGTCAACCACATTTCAGGGGATGGCCATATATCCATGAGTATATGGACAGCACAAATTAGACTTGGCAGCTTATTAAAAAAAATAAAAAGAGGGGCTGGAGAGTTGGCTCAAAGTTTAGGAACACTTGCTGCTCTTGTAGAGTACCAGGGTTTGGTTCTTAGCATCTACATGGTGGCTCACAACCATCTGTAACTCCAGTTCCAGGATATCCAAGACCCTTTTCTGGCCTCTGTAGGCACTGAATGCACATGGAGCACATACATACATGTAGGCAAACACTCATACACATAAAATAAAAATGTAAAAATTAGAACATGAAATTGAGGGGATACAGAAGTAGGGACAAATCTGGGAGGATTTAGGGGCAGGAGTAGGGGAGCTGAATTATGACATTCTCAAAGAATAATAAAAATGCTATATTAAAAAAAAACAAGACTGTTGAAATGCCACTTTCTTGGCAAAGGCTTCCAGGTCACCCCATGCATGGTGGAAGATGCTGCCACCAACCTCACCTAGTGTTCTGTATCCCTCTTTGATCCAGTTTTCTTTTAATATTTTTTATTTTTATTTTATGCGTATGCATGTATTGCCTGCTTGTAAGTAAGTGCACCAATGTCGTGCAATGCCCTCGGAGGACAGAAGAGGCCGTTGGATCCCCTGGAACTGGAGTTAGGACAGTTGTTGGCTGCCATGTGGGTGCTGAGATTCGAACCTGGGTCTTCTGCAAGAACAGCCAGTGTTCTTAACTGCTGAGCCATCTCTCCAGCCCCATGATCCAGTTTTCTATATCACATTTATCATCTAATAAATTGTGCCATTTACACTTACTTGTTTACATATTTCTTTAAAATTAGAACGTCAGCCCCTTGAAGTCAAGGATTTATTATTGTCTCATTTATTACTGAATCGGCAGCACTGACTGTATAGCAGATCGTTGACACTTGATATCTGGTGACCGTCTGAACAAATTAGTTTATTTTAATGGGGGCTTGAGCTGCAGCATGCACAAACCCATAGACTTGATCTGTAGTGCCCTATAAATAGACATAATGGTACATACTGGTAATCCCAGCATCCAGGAGGTAGAGGCAGGAGGATCAGCAGTTCAAGGTCATCCTCAGCTACATTATGAGTTTGAAACTATGGGCTATGTGATACCATGACTTAAAAAAAAGGATCAGGTATAATAAGTATAGATCTGGCCATTTCACTGGGACATCCTATTCCTGGTTATCTTTCATTTTGAACTACTCAGTTTCTCTAGTGCCACAGTTTGGGGGTTGAGTCTCCTTGCCGGGGCTCCATCTGCCAAGCAGGGGAAAGGGACTTGGCAGTCCCTGGTTAGTATACATTCTCTCATGCAGTGGTTTCTTTCCTGTTTGCTCCTTGATGGGTAATTCTCTAAGATACACAAGGACAGAAAAGCCTGTCATCCAAAGAACAATGGAAGGTTGGCACAAAGGGTGGGCAGAGGAAAGTAATAAGAACTACCAAGCATAGTCAAAACTGCTTTTTCTGTCTAATTAGGAAAATAAGTGATTCAATGTCCTGAGAATGTCTCATTTTAGTAGCTCCTATCTGCTACTTCCAGCCTGATCCCCTTGGCTACACTCCTGACAGCCATTCCTCCCCTTTCATGGCTGTTGGAAGATAGAGCTTAAAGGAAACAACAGTCACAGGTGACAAGATCAATGTGGCCCAGACCACACTATGTAAACCCTCAGTGAGTATTATTAGGCCATTGTCTTGGTATTTGCTTGTAAGAAAGTCACATACCTTAATTTATTTTACCACAAGTATCACTTATCAGTTCTGAAAAATATTTTTCAAGAACTAGAGCCCTAAACTAGTTCACATCTAAACTAGTGAGATTTAGATGTCCTATCTTATATTAATAGCAATGGTTTCTTATTAATTGCACTGATTGTTGGAAAGGGTAAAGTTTAATCTTGCTCATTAGAGAATTCTGGTGTGGGCTCTTTAATCACAGGGATACTTACACGTGGGTCTGTATTTATGCACAGGCTTGTATTACCTGTCCCCAGGTAACCTTTCTGGTGAAGTGAATGGACCTGAAAGGACAGTAGAAAGGGGACTAGACAGCCAATGATGGTACACAACATTGTGCAAACTTCGGACCTTGTTTGGGGCTTTATCCCTAGAGAGCCTGCCCTGTTGGACTCCTCTCTCCCAGTCTGCACCCTTCGAACTCCTGGTGGCTGTGGCTGAGTCTTCTGGGAAGAGAGCAGAGCATCTGCCCTCCTACTGTTCTCCCATGTGCCCTGTGAAACAGAATACTTCAGACTTACTACAAGTCCCTGGTACAGTGGGAATTTTGGTCTTATTGTTATTCTTCTAAGTCATCCTAGAAAGCAGGCATGGACAATCTGCCTGAGTGCTAACTAGAGGTGTCAAGCGGGGACCAAAAGGTCCACTCTGGGAATA